GAAGCACGCGAAGACCGCAGTACTCTTCTTCCTCGCGAGCTCATGGAGCCGCTGGATCGCGAACAGCATGTCGAGCGTCGACCGGTGTGGGCGGAAACCGCTCTGCTCCTCTGGGAGGATGCCCTCTCGCTCGCAGTAGTGGCTTAGGCGTGTTGCAACGACCTTAAGCAGCACCTTGCCGGCGTGTGCAACGAGAGAGATGCCCCGGTGGTTGCCGCACTCCATCGTGTCCCCCTTCTTGAACAGCACTTTGATGGCGGCGTCCTTCCACTGCTGCGGTACGTTCCCCGTCTGCCACACGTCCACGACGATGGCGTGGAATTCGCGGAGGAAGCCTCGGTCTCCATCCAGGAACAGCTTAGTAGTGTATGACAACGGCTGCAGCCTTAGCTACTAACATTTTTACACCAGCGACTGCATCGGGCGGTCGCTGCACGGTGGCAGTTTCATTCCGGTGTTTAAAACGGGTAAGATCTTTGGATCCCGAAGATGGTTCATCGACGACACTTTACACCGGAGCTTTGAACATTCCTCTTCGTGTGCTGTTTTGTAGCCTTTGGCGACACGAACCAGTAAGGTACCGAAGTACCGTCGTTGATGTTTGAAACCAAGCGCTCCCCACATTTCATCACAAGAGGGTCGTCGTTCCCCGACGCTTACGAGCGGTAGTGGCCTTCGGAGGTCGCCTGTTCCTATAGGTTTTGGCCATCTGGTGGCGATTTTCATCCGTTCACCCCCGCCGATTTTAATCGCATTAGAGGAAGAAAACACGTTGTGTGCGTCCCCCCTCGCCCTACTGGGAAAACTTCATGATACATCCGAGCGTAGCCTTTTCATTCTCGTCCGCTGATTTGTAGAGGTCGGGCGGCACGGTGCGGGCGATTGACTTTTCGAAAGACGTCCAAGAGCACAAACGAGCTGGCATGCGCTTCAAAATAGTTATTCTATGTAGTAATGTTGTCGTCGCAGACTCCTGCGGAAACGTAGCATGGACAGGGAAACATCGGGGTATCCCATAAGGAGAAAGAGGTACATACACGAAAACATTTGTCCACCATCGGAGGAAGAATTGCTCCAGTTGCATGCAGAAGGCTCACGTCATCGATGGTCTCATCAAAGAACACGATGGGCTGTTTTTCTTCATGGGTTTTACAGCGGTGTGCCGAATGGTTCATACGTCCACCCCAATTAGTGTTCGAAGGACTGGTGTTGAACACCAACAGACAAAAACCGATGACCAATCACACAGCATCGCTGTGTTCGATTAGCTGCTGTTGGCAGTTGTCTGGAAGGCCGTGTGATGTTGTTAGTTTCAGGTCAGTTTATTTTAATAGCATCGATTTGGAGCGCTTTCTTCCTCTCCGTCCTACCCTGCCTCCCACTTCTCCCGACCAGTCACGCAGCAAGGAAGTATCCCAAGGCTCACAACACTTTCGTTTCCGTTCCTCTTGAACATCTGTCATTCACAATTTCAGGAAACAACAAGGGCCTGGACGCCTTCACCGTGGCATTGAACCAGGCTTGCGACGGACACGAAAAACGTTGGTATGTGTCTACCATAGAGCTCCAGCTTGTATCGATGGAGTTTGGCGGGGCGTGCAGAAGTGTCCAGACCTTGCACGTGCGTGTCGTTCCACACACATCTCCTAGCTTGTGGCCTCCTCACCAATCACACACCGCACCAGACAAGCATGGTCCCGAGGTGTGCCTCTCGAGTCGCGTGCCGACTGGACGTGGGCACTTCCGAGACTTCAGCCATTGAGCAATGGGCAGAGTCAGGAGGTCTGCGGCTCACGTGGTCAGCTGCAGCAAGCCTAGGGTCGGTGATTTGGCCTCAGACGCTCAAACGGCTGATATTTTCTTCGGATATGCTCGTGACCGCAGCGACGTGGCCTGCCTCCTTGCAGCAGTTGTCGTTTGGAGGTGATTTCAACAAATCCATCGCTGAAGAAGTGGTGTGGTAGGCTATTCTGACGCAGCTGTCCTTTGGTCGTAAATTCAACCAACCCATTGTCGGAGTCGTGTGGCCGGCCTCCCTGCAGCAGCTATCGTTTGGTTCTGCATTCAACCAGCCCATCGCCGGAGCCGTGTGGCCGGCCTCCCTGCAGAGGCTATCGTTTGGAGATGCTTTCAACCAGCCTATCGTCGGAGACATGTAGCCGGCCTCCCTGCAGGAGCAATCGCTTGGAGATGCTTTCAACTAGCCCATCGTCGGAGACATGTGGCCGGCCTCCTTGCAGCAGCTGTCGTTTGGAGATGCTTTCAACTAGCCCATCGTCGGAGCCGTGTGGCCGACCTCCTTGCAGCAGCTGTCGTTTGGAGATGCTTTCAACCAGCCCATCGTCGGAGCCGTGTGGCCGTCCTCCCTGCAGGAGCTATCGTTTGGAGATGCTTTCAACGAGCCCATCGTCGGAGCCGTGTGGCCGGTCTCCCTGCAGGAGCTATGGTTTGGACATGCTTTCAACCAGCCCATCGTCGGAGCCGTGTGGCCGGCTTCCCTGCAAGAGCCATGATTTGGTTGTGATTTCAACCAGCGCATCGTCGGAGCCGTGTGGCCGGCCTCCCTGCAGGAGCTATGATTTGGTTGTGATTTCAATCAGCCCATCGTCGCAGTCGTGTGGCCGGCCTCCCTGCAGCAGCTGTCGTTTGGTGGTCAGTTCAACCAACCAACAGACCAAGTCGTGTAGCCGGCTTCCCTGCAGCAGCTATCATTTGAGGGTAATTTCAATCTGCCCATTGCCGAAGTCAGGTGGCCTGCTTCCCTGCAGCGGCTATCGTTTGGATACTCCTTCAATCAGCCTATCGTGGGGGTCGTATGGCCGTCCTCGCTGCAGCGGCTTTCACTTGGTCGTGAATTCGACCAGCACATCGTCGGAGTCGTGTGGTCGGCCTCCCTGCAGCAGCTATCGTTTGGTTATTATTTCAACCAGACCATCATCGGGGTAATATGGCCGGCTTCCGTGCAGCAGCTATCGTTTGGTTATTCATTCAACCAACCCATTGCTGAAGTCGTGCGGCCGGCTTCCGTGCAGCAGCTATCGTTTGGTTCTTCATTCAACCAACCCATTGCTGAAGTGGTGTGGCCGACTTCGCTGTAGCAGCTATGGTTTGGAAATGCTTTCAACCAGTCCATCGTCGGAGTCTTGTGGCCGGACTCCCTCCAAGAGCTATCGCTTGGGCATAATTTTGAGCAGTCGTTGTCCGCAGTGGTATGGCCGGCCTCCTTACACACTGTGACTGGCGGCGGACGTCGTCTGCTATGACAGCTGTCGAGGCACGCCTCCGGTTGTGCGGGTTCTGCTTTCGGCCAAGTAGAACAGGGAGGTTATTGGGTCAGAAGCTGGGCACACATGCATATACACTTTCAATCTCCATGCAAGGCAAACCCACAGTTATCAGGGGGGAAGCCAGTTATGCCCAATCATGCCGAGTTGACCAACCCCTTCCATTTCACGACTTCTTTCCTTTCCTTCGTGGCACGACACGCTCGAAAGCTGCGTGTGGTACTTGGATATGAGTCCGGTCAGTGCGTCGTTTTTGGGAGATTCGCGTTTGGGAATATGTGTGTGATGGGTATGTATGCGTTTGGGGTCCAAGTGCACTCTCCCCCAGGTGAGCACACGCAGGTGGCTCCTGGTACTCGCCTCTCCTTGTTGTAGGTAGTTTGTGTGTGTGTCCGCACACACACGTGTGTGTGACCCGCTTGCCTGAAGGGCTTGCGTGTGGAACATTTCATTATTGCTTTCCTTCACCTGCCGTTGCTGGGATACCGTAGTCCCTAGTCTCAACAACACCGCTGAGGGCGGCTGGGCCACGAACGAAGCCGTACATTATGTGCTTGGGGGGCGGTAGTGCTGCTGGATACATAAGTTTCCTTAGCGGCGAGCCTTCGCAACGTGGCGAATCACCGTACACCGACGATGGAGAGGTAGGCGGCAAACGGGTCAACCCAGAGTAAACAAGGCATCAATCAAGGCAAGCGAACCAGCTTCATGACTTGTATCCCTGGTCCATTGAGCCCAGACGTGGAGGTGCGCATTATGCAAGAGGTAGTCACAGTAGAGCGTGCGTTGCACCGCAGCGTGTCGATCGTGTTGCCCTTCATATCACGGAAGAAGTGGCGTTTGTGTCCGTTTCCTGTTGTGTTCTGAAGGACAAGACGCACCAGAGGGCGTGGGGGGTGGAGGTGAAGGCGTGTTGTATATCACGGGGGATGTGTCACGTTGCTGGTTGTATCCAGCGATGGCAGCGCGATGCTCGACACCCCATGGACACTCGAACGTCTCTTCGAACACCACCTACAGGCAGGTGAATTTTGCAACACCCTCGCGAGTTTTGTGGAAAGCTTCAAGGAGAACGAGCTTCAGAATCGCAAGGCATTTTGACCTTCGTTGAAAAATGCCGCTTCAGACGGCGAACTGCCGTTGAGCTTGTGGTCAGTGTTTCGATGTTATGAGGCGAGCGAACGGTCGGGGATGGGGGAGGGCGGATCTTTCACCAATAATAGTGCGCGGTTTGCTCGTGTCGTACGTTTCAACACTATTAGACGTTGTGGTCTCGTGATTTACAACAGACGGCCTCTATCTGGGTGACACTGGATGACTTTAGCCTTTCTCATATGACTGACAACCGGCTGACCTGTTGAGAAATTTGGAGGAGAGGCGTTCCCCGGGGCTGTCTGAAAGAGGTTTGTACTGTTGTCCCAAATAGTTTGCACCATGAGCTCGTTGTTACCCGATCGCCTTGGGTGGGAATTTTTATCTCGTTTACTTGCAAAAATCAGCCATGTTGTTGACATCATTTGCTACTCGATGGTCGACGGTAGTCCCAGATTACCACTCTAGTAGCCTGTGTGCCTATTGCGCTCACTGCAATCGATGACGAAGTCTGGAAACTACCCAGGCATAATGTTGCACACGAAGTCATTGAGTACACGCACCGTAACCTACCTGACTTTGATATTCCATTGGTCGCCGTGATGTCTGGCGTGATGCCAATTTAGGTCAGTCAAGGATGAATCGCTAAAAGCTACCGGTATGTTGCAGCAAATAATTTGTGCGGTGTTTATTGCACCAGGACGAGAAGCTCGAAACGTGCAAACAATGGTGGGAGAGGTAAGTTGGGTATTTAACTCCACTTTATTTTCGACCAAGAGAGGTATCACCGAATAATAAGTATACAAGTGTGGCCAAGCACCGCAACAGGAGGAGGATCAACAATCGGGATAAAACATTGTATGTGACCCCGGTTGGGTCGTCTAGCTAGTAGAAGTGGAGGATAGTGACCAGAGGGGCAGACGACAGAGTCCAATGATGGGAGAAAAAAAGAAATGTGCTGCCCTCGCAATTTGTGTGGTGTATTATATTTCGATGGAAGTACGTACTAAGGGAGAAGAGATTACATATATAATGTAGTCTACAATAGACTGCCGCCGTGGCTCAACATTATTCTCTCCCTTACAGGTAATCTACAAGACCATGCCAACATCAAGGCCCAACTCTGGACTAATTAGCCGGACGCTCTTCCCTTATCATGTCACGACCGTCCTCGGACCCCGGTGACGCCCGATGTCGCGACGTCGAAATAACATGTAACTGCCGTGGCATTCACTCGCATTGCGAAAGTTGTTTGCACCTAGCTCTCTCTCGCCCTCTGCGTGTCGCTTTCCCTCCTCATTTTGCAGCACGTGTGGATACGCGCGCGTAGAGAGGTGACGCGAACGAACCTAAGGGCAACTGCTATCAGGCACGAGTGGGTGCTGCGAGGATTCCGTCGCGCATGATATATTTCTTCCGCCACACATCAGAGCGGCGACAAGCGGCGTGATAGAGCGGGGAGCCAGGGGGCACGACAAAGGAGATTGGTTGGAAACCTTGTATGCACAAAAGCCCCCCCCACGTCCGCGTCTTGAATGTGTGGCCTTGCTCTCCTTCTCCCAAAGCAACCTCTCCCGCTCTCTCAACAACGCGGGCGCCCGTTTGCCCCTCACCCCCCCCAAGTGCTACTGGTAGAGCTTGGCCGCGGCCTCTACCTGCTTAACCATGGTGAGACGACGGGCTTTGTGGCGAGCACGGATAGGTTATTTGAGGGGCCTCCTGCCGTTGTGTGTGTGTGGCGGTCGCACACACACAATGCCGGTAGCGAGAGGGGAAGAGGAACTCTGGGGAGGAGCTCGGACGCAGCAGCGCTGGCGGAGTCACGGGTGGCCCGAGTGCCGGGCACAAGGGTAGATATTTGTGCAGCAGTGCATAATTTCATGCTGCTCTCTGGTGTCATGGGCGCGTCTGTGGGAAGTTGGGGCGGAACTGGGAGAAGCTGCTCCCCCCGCGCGGGTGTGCGTGGCCGCTCATCCAGCCTTCGAGTTTTTGCCTTCTGGGCCCCAACTCACCTCTCACTCTCCCGTCTACGCTACTACAATGATGCCCGCAGGTTAACTTCACTACGGATCAGCTCCGTGAGATCATGGACAAGAAGCACAACATCCGGAACATGTCCGTGATCGCGCACGTGGACCACGGCAAGTCCACCCTGACTGACTCGCTTGTGTCGAAGGCCGGCATCATCGCCGCGAAGAACGCGGGCGAGGCCCGTTTTACCGACACCCGTCAGGACGAGCAGGACCGCTGCATCACCATCAAGTCCACCGGCATCTCCATGTTCTTCGAGTACAACCTCGACGCCGGAGAGAAGGTGAGCGGACTGTCTTGTGTCTTGCAACTTGTAACCTGACTAATGCTGCTGCTGTGGTTGTTTTCTTGGTAATATTCCGAGTGTCCCGCGTCCCTCTCCTACTTGCTGCGGACGGCGGTGCGCTGTGCACCGTTTATTTTGCCCTCTGGTAAAGCGGGCGATTCTTTTGTAGATTCAGTTCTTAAAGGGCAAAAAATGCTTCTCCCACATTGTTGTGCAACCGTGTCTTCAATCCCGTTCGCGGTTGGTGCGGCAAGACGGAGTGCCGTAGGGTTGTTCGATTCCAAACCATGTTTTCAGTTTTTGACGAAAGGTTTGCCCCGTTTTTGTGTGCAGTGGAGTGTGCAACACTGTCAGGAGTGCTGAGGGCAAACCATGCCATGCAATGGGTGAAAACAAGCACGCGCCCTGCATGCGGTAGCCCTGCAGAGCAACCGCCCAACTAGAGGTCACCCCGTTTATGGTGTGGACTGCAATGTGCAATGTTGTACTCATGGCTGAGCGCAGACTTTTGTGACGGGCGAAAACAAGCTCGCACCCTGTAGTACGGGAGCCCCTGTTCGAGCAACAGCTCAGCGGGAGGTTGCCCCGTTTTTTGTGTGCAGTAGGTGAAAACAAGTTCTCCCCATTTATTTCAGACCCCCCTGGCAGTGCAGCAGCAGGGAGAGAGTCTGTTGTCGTCATAAGCGGTTGGACCTCGCTGATGAACCCTACAACAGCAGTATACAGAGCCATAACCTGTAGATTCAACGTTCGCAACCGGCCTTGGAACGTTCTGTTGCCCTTCGATAACTTTTGCAAAACCAAATTTCTCATCATCCGTGACACGTATTGCTCATAGGACCTCTGTCCTCACGAGCATGGTGCGAAGCGTTCAGCGCGCTCCATGCGGCTGTCGCCCACCTATCTCGACTGATGTCCGGACGACGCAATAAACGCCCCATGCTGAATCAAAATGAATCAGCATTTTCCTCAGCTGCCTAGAACTATGTACCAGTTTTTTTTTGGTACCCTCCCATGCTGCGTAAGTTGCGGCCTCAATTATAGTGCTCACTGGCCCCATGTCTAGAGCAGAGGCTCTCTGCGAGTATTCAAGCTCCACAGGATTTGGACACTAAAAAATGTCGGCATATCGGATTTCCTCCTTCCCGCCTCCTGCTACGCGTAGTTTGCGTACGTTCTCGCTCAAGAACCGTCCCGTGATGCTTGCAAGTACGGTACTTCGGTTGCGGGTTGGCTGCCGCGTCTTGGTGCCATTTGTCGGATTCGTGTGTGGCTTGCTTTCAGCGATATCCTGCGCTAGATTAAAAGGCTTGCCTTCATTTGTAAAAGGGATGACGGGTGGGTGGGTATACAGAACCCCCTCATTGATTTAATAACAGCGTCCTCGCGAAGGGCGGTTGCTGAA